TTGAGAAGGCGACTGTTCTTGGGAAGAGTTTGTCCGGACTTTAGCAACTGGTAATCTTCTTTATAGACCTCTTCCTGTACCCACTTACAACACTTAATCTCTGCCTTCTTCACTTCTTCTGCCGACAGTTCACTTTCAGAAGACTTACATTTAGTCTTGAACAACTTGACTGCTCTCAGTACATAAGCGGTTACTCGAATCAACTTTAACCATGTCCCGTAACGCGACATATCAATTAACGGCTCTCTAACGACTGCTGTACAACCATGAGCAATTTTCCTTTCCTCTTCGCATACCTCAGAGGGAACAGTACCACCTTGGGGCTGAACGGGTAAAGGTTTGTCGCTCGAAGACAGCCACCGAGGTCCATTCCACCATAAGGTATTGGCAATCATATCATCACAGCTCAACCCACGCGTCAACAAATCTGCAGGATTCTCCTTACTAGCACAGTACCTCCAACACTCAGGATCCCACGTAGACTGTATTTCTGCCACTCGATTCGCCACAAATGGTTTCCAGCGAGAACTCTGACCTTTTACCCAATGCAGTGCCACCATACTATCAGTCCAACACACAACACTACTCACTTGCATAGGCAAAGTGTCTACAACAAACTTCAACAACCTGGCATTTACAACTGCTGCTAAAAGTTCCAGTCTGGGTAGTGACACTTTCTTTATAGGTGCAACTCGGGACTTTGATATTACCAGCTGCGAGGATACATGACCTTGCTTGTCTGCTATTCTGATATACACTGCTGCTCCGTACGCTTTAGGAGAGGCATCTCCAAAACCATGTAGCTCTATCTTAGAATCTTGCGTGATGCCATTTCCGAAGCATCGGGGTATGTTCACACCTTTCAGTTGCAACAACTCTGACTTCCAATGTAGCCACTTTGCTTTAATTTCACTGTCCAAAGGGTCATCCCACAATAATCCTTTCAACCACAGTTCTTGGAAGAGGATTTTGGCTCTGACAGTGAAGGGAGATATCAACCCTAAAGGGTCAAACATTTCCGATGCTAGACTAAGCAGGCTTCTCTTTGTCATTGGATCCGGAGATAAGACAATTCCACCCGGTGCAAGAAATCGGAAGTGATCAGAGGTCAAATCCGATGAGACTCCAAGCGCTTTAAGGGGTTCACTCGACTCAAACTCCACCAGTGACGATGAGGCTCTTTTCGCTGGGGCAATAGCATCCATTACGAGCTGTGAGTTACTTGCCCACTTTGTCAAGTTAAACGCCGCTTTCATCATGATCTCTGACATGTATTGTTGAAGTTTCACAGTCGAGTCCACCGTATCGGCTCCTGTTAGGACGTCATCCACATACATGTTTTGTAGAATTTCTTGGACTGCATTTGGGAACAGTTCTGCGTATTTTTTTGCATGAGCATGGACCGTCGAAATAGCAAGGAATGGACTGGAGTTCACACCAAATGTCAGTCTTTGCATTCTATAAACTTTGAGTGTTTCGTTAAATTGTAAATCTCTCCACAGGTACCGGTGAACGTCTCTATCCTCTGGCGCTAGCTTGACCTGAAGAAACATCTTTTCAATATCTGCTATGAGACCAATTCTGTTTGTTCGAAATCGAATGAGTACAAATGCAAGGTTGGGCTGTAAAGCAGGACCGGGAAGGACACAATCGTTGAGAGAAACACCATCTCCTTCTCGCGCGGAAGGATCAAACACGATTCTGCACTTAGTCGTCGTTTTGTCATCACGAAACACAGCATGATGCGGCAGGTAGCGTACAGTTCCATCTTCATCATTCCTCGTTAGGCACTACCTCTGCAAATCCTTTCTCTACATATTCATTGATTGCAGAATTGTAAGCTTTAGCTTTCACAGGGTCATGTCTTAACCTTCTTTCGATGCTTTCCAGACGTCTAACAGCTTGCATGTAGTTACTTTCCAGTTTAGGAGGGTCACGTTTCCACGGTAGTCGTACTTCATAGTTCTTTCCGTCAAATTTCAATCCTCTATTGAAGTCAGCAAGAGCAACTTCCTCCTCCCGGGAAACGACAGTGTTTTCAGTCTCAGCGATGCCAATAGATTCCAGTTCCCAGAATCTTTTCAAGCTTTTAGAGAGTCCACTGTTTTCTACAACGGTAAGCATGGATGTGGTATACCTTGAGTAACCGTTTACTTGTCCGGTAAGAATCCACCCGAGATGAGATTCAACAGCAACAAGTGACTCAGATGAACTACCTTTCTTGTACAACCCAGTTACGAACGAGTAGTAAAAGTCTGCACCAATAAGGACGTCTACTTGGACGGAATCGCGAGGGTAGGAATCTGCGAGAATTAAACCTTGAAGATGAGAGTTCTTACGAAAGTCTAACTGCACTGGTCCGAGGGGGTTACAAATCTTGGGAATAGCAAGGGCCTCCATCTCCACCTTGGAATCTCCTTTCATTGGCGAAAGTGCAAATTTAACTCTCTGTAATCTCTTGGTTTCACTAGTTGCTCCACCGAGCATTGTAACACTTAAT